TCAAAATTAAGCTTTTCAAATTATACATACTATTTAACAGCAGATCCCGCATAAGTCAAGAGTCAAAAGTAAAAAGTGCTTATGTATAACAGCATTATAAAACCAAAATGGGGCTAGAGAGCATTGAAACACACAAACATCAGACCACACCTTTACTCAGCGGTAATAAAGACAACGTATTATCATGGCTTTTTATATACATTCTGAATAACAAACCCAAACAGTTGATCGAACTATCTGCGCATAATTAAGCCAGAAACAACTAGACCCATCCCGTCACCATTTTTACCTGCCACCCACAAGGACAAAAAAGAACAATAGCCCTACTAATTAAAATTATATATAAGACCTTTAATTAGTATAAATAATTTATAAGTTGATATAGATATTTAAATATTTTTAATATTAGAAATTCTCCAAATTAAGGCAAAAGCTAATTTACTGAAATACGTATAGAGATATACAAAATTGATTAATAAAACGCACAAAATTGATTGAAAACGCTCGAAATATCCAGTTATTTGATACAGCTAGTGTTTCAAATCTGTAGGTTCTTTAAAGACCTTAAAAAAAATATTAAAATCAATCACTGGCGCTTTATGGTGTATTATACCATATATACCATATATATACCATATATATTATATAGCATATATATGGTATATAAATGTATTCACTGAAATCTTTAAATTCCCTAGTTAAATCTGAGTTAGATAACGTTAGAAAAAAATATATTAAAAGACTAACAGATCACTCTTACCTAATAAATAAAACTTTATTAATAACGCTGTCAAAATATTGAAATCCTTTCAATAATATTTTTCATATTCTATTCCATTTGATAATCCTGTTTCATTTTCTGACATGCCACATAATCCGCTTAATTGATTCTACAATGTACGATTCAAGTGCAATAAAAATAACAGAATTTCTAGGCTTTTTATTAATCCATTTATCTTTTAATTTTTATTTACTTTGTTGGCACTTTTGTGGTCAAATGTAAATTAAAGGCACACTCGCTTCAGTAGCTCTTACCTATAATATTTTTTGTCTATTTTTATTAGGTTTTGAAACTCTTTTATTTACGTCTGCGGATAAACTATATTTCCTGTGCTGGTTCAAATAACTTATAAATTTGCCTCACTCTTTGTCCGCCATGACGTTTCATATGAAACCAATCGCTATACTTTCTGGTCTGCGGCTCTTCCGTTATTTTTGCACATATCCACCATGTCTTGAATGGACGCATACACACCCACTCAGGCCACGGAGTAGGCGGTCTTGCATATGTGGTTACATTAGGAGATTGCATATATGCTGTCGTACGGCACGGAGCACATGTTGCAATATTTGTTGAAAACATTTTTAGATCTTTTATTTTCATTTAATTTTTATTTTATTTCAGTTGCGCATTTTATGCTGAAAAAAGGAGTTACGCAAAGTATTTAATTTTTTATTTTTATTACTCCAACACTTCAACTTTTTAAACTGGAAATGCAATTTATTTCTAAATTCTGGGAACAAATTTTACTTATCATTTGTACTTTACCCAGTTCTTTACTGGGTATACTTTCTTTACTGTATCCGCAGCACAAAGTTTCTCTTCCAAACCTTATTTATTTTATTTGCAAATGATTTCTGCGAAGAACGACCTATAAATATTTATGGCTTCCAGAGATTTCTATGAAGGCACATTCTATGGGTTTCGTGCGATCCGCCACTGTGCTTTTGGCATTGAATGCTTTGTATGCATATTTTTCACATAAATTTCATTGAATTCAACTATAATTTGTTTTATTTTTTATTTCACTTCATTTAATTTCTTTATTTTTTGCGAAATAATACTATGCGAAATAAGAACTTCTTAGGCGGTCAAAAGTTTTTAACAGTTCCATTATGTACAGTTTTTATGCTATTATTTAGCTACTTTAATTCTTCTTATTTTACTCTCCTTTTATTTTGTAATACAGTGGAACGTGCTTTTCAGCAATTTTATGCTTTCTTTAAGTCATCTCTTACTATTTGTTAATATTTTGTTTGTTTCATATTTCATCTTCCATTCCAGAATAATTAAGAGGATTTATGGATTCAATTCAAAGTTTTATATTTCCGTGAAATTATAAAATTCCTAAACAAAAGCTAAGGCATTATTTGTAATTTTTGTTTTAATACAAAATGTAATACTTTAAAAAATCAAATAAATATATAATTAGTAACAGATTTGGATTTTTAGTTAAGTTCCAATGCAAGTATTATATCAAATATTAATCAACACATAGTCTCAAAGCGGTAAAGATATGGAAGAATATAAAATATATATATTATATATAGTATATAAGAGAGAAATATATACAAAATATTTTAATTTTTAATTTAATTTTGTGCGGCAAGGAAGAGTGGAATGCCTACGCACTGACCACCTTCCGGCGCCCTTCCGGAAGGTGAGTGCCCCACTCGCACGGGCTAAACCACTCCCCCTCATTCCTAGAGACCTTGTTCTACCCCGGGACTACGTTAGTATAACTTCGAGGTAGGGTCCCTATTAGTCATTTAAGACTTCCATCGCTGTGTCCTGCGTCCAGGCTCCGCTACTGTTGCAGATAATTAATCTTGCCCTACAGTCTACTTTTTTCAATCTCAGAGTATGTGTTCCGGCTCTCATTCGTGCTCTTCGTTCAAGATTAGATTGCGTCCAGATCTTTCTTCTTTTCTCTTAGAACATTTCCGATGAATTGCGTGATTTTGCTCCAATTTTCTGCTCATTCTATCATTTTTTCTACAATATTATCAACTGTAAAGTGACCCATATATCCTGCAAGTAGTGTTCTTTCTCCACGCCATCTTTCGCAGTTGAAGAAAGTATGCTCAGTATTGTCCTTGACTGATCCGCAATATATACAGTTGGGCTGCTCTGCTTTTTGCATTCTGTATAGATATTTTCGAAAATATATTAATACAATAAAGACATTGAATACAGAACACTACATATAAATTACTCAACTTAATTTCATTCACATTGTTATGAAGTAAACTCCTTCACACAACTCCCACAATGAGTTAGTACTCAAATAAGCATTAAATATATGCATTAAAATGAGCAATTTTAGTAGTAACGAACGAACAGCAAAAAAAAATTTGAGGTTGAATGGTAGTCTACTTGAGCTCAAATAAATTTTCTTTGTAATACTATCGATAAACGTTGATTATACCCCAGAAGAACAATCAAAAAAAAAAGTAAAGATCGTAAGTTATTAACGACAATGATGTAAAAGGCACGACTCTTGTAATTAAAGAAAAGTCAATCAATCTATACAGTATGTAGACACTGGCATATTCCTAATATTAAAGAATGAAACCGCTGTTATGTCGGTAAGAAAAGTGACTCAAAGATATTAAATTTTGATAAGTTGGACACATATACGATAGAAAAAAGATTACTCCTCCTCTGTAGAACATTGGTACGTCCCACTACAAAAATTACAATGATCTTATTGCATTCCATTTTAGTTTAAGATTTATTTAATTCATGGTCCTGATTTTTCGGTTCTGTTATAGTGATATACGTCAAACTAATATCACATTTTTTATTAAATATTTTCAATTTTAAAATATGGATCATTTACTAATCATTGAATCTAATAAATATATAAAACTATACTACAAAAATGTTGACGAGTTTTTTGAGAGTAAAAAAGATATGCGATTACTAGAAGATGAACCCACAAGCCACATGACATTTCTTGGTTTTGTTTTGTTACACGTGAAAAATTCCCGAATGTAAATTGGTCATCTAGACTATTCGATTTATTAAATTATTTATATAATTTTATTTATTAACTTATTATTTAAGTATCTTGCTTATGATGATAATCCTTAAGATCTTGAAACTGAAAACAAATATCCGTTATATTATATCCTACTTTATTAGGATCTAGCACTATTCTTTGCAGAGCATTTAAATGATGTTATGTTTCACTCTTAAAGAGATGGTTCCAATTTGAGTCTCAATATATTTTTGGGTATCTTTTATTTCGGTTTATTTTCGAAACTATAGAATGGATAGTCCTGTATACGGTCTCTTATAATTTATAATTAATAATTTTAATAATAATTTAAAAATATTTTATATCGATTTTCAAATTTAATTACGACGAAAGAAACTAAGTTTCTTAATAGAAACTAGTTTTTTAATGGAGAGGTATCTTGAACAGTAATGATTAATAACAAAATTTTATTATTTATTAATTAATTGAATTTTTGGCTGACCATACAGCTGTTTCGAGTATTAGTTCATTCATTTAGTCTATTGCTAATTTATGATTTTCATAGTATATTAACAAAAGTTCAAGTTCGAACATACAAGTCAAGTACTGCTTCGGCTAATGAACACTGACTCTGAACTTCAAATTTGGCAGGGCTCGCGTTCAACCTTTGGTTCTTGCAGTCTCAAAAAATTATTTATGAATAATTAAATATAAGAAATATTTCCAGATATACCACTTATGATGATTATTTGACAATACTCAAAACAACTGTGTGGTCAGCCAAAAATTCAATTAATTAATAAATAATAAAATTTTGTTGTTGTAATTCACTACTATTCAAAATACTTTTCTATTAAAAATATTAATTTTAATGCATTTAGTTTTTATATTATTATGATTATTTATTATATTAACAAATAATATTAAATAGATAATATTTAATAATTTATGGTTTATTTAGGTAGTAAATCCGTCAATGTAATCTTCAAACAATGAGTGGAGTATCATTAACTTTAAGTGTAGTGTGATTTACTTACTCATACTTAAGTATGTGCTTACAGCAATAATGATATCTAATGACAAAGCAATGAAATATTTATACAGTTTAATGGATATGTTGGTTCGTTAAGGCATTACTAACAAATAATTAACCCTTTTCAGTTCAAAATTTATACTCTACCGCATACTCTAACCCTGTTTTATTAATTATATACTTTTTGTGTCATTTCGTAACAGTTTCTGCTGCATTATTTCCCTCCAACATTTTTCACAATGCGCTGAAGAACGAAAGGGAAGAGTAACGGAAAAGGATACAGCAAAGCAATCCAACATTTTTACAATCAGAAAATTGGATACGGCTACTAAGGATGGAAACATGAAACAGTCAAAGCCACAAAAACAACAAAAGCAAGAAATTAAGTTGCAACAACAACAACAACTGTTACAGCAACAACAGCAACTACAGCAACAGTCGAAAACGGGTAAAGTCAAGTCGGCGAACATATCAACCGAAACGACGAAGCCGCCCAGAACGAAAAAACTGAAGAGCGCTACGAAGAGTTCTCATAGCATGAATAAGAAACTTTTAAGGTAGGTTTTATGGCGATGACGATGGCGATGGCGATGGCAACGGCGATGACGATGCCAATTGAAAAAAATATGCACTTAATTAAAAGTAACTTAACCAAAGCAAAAGTAAAACCGCATCAGGGATTTTCGATTTTTGATGCATGGCACGTTTTTCATGATCAACATTATTAAAATATGAAAAATAAAACATAAATTATAGAAGAAAATTCCTATGCGAGTAGCAACTCAAGTTAGTTAATTTGGGTTCAATTTGCAAAAAACAAAAAAAAAAAAAATAAAGCACAGATAAAATGTTTATTGGAAACTTATTAGCCTTTAATTTATGCAATTTATAGTTTAATGTATATGGTATTTTCATCTCTTATCAACTTTCTTTTCTTTTATCCTTTTGTTTCCATTGCAGCAAATTGGGTTTTACGAAAGTAAAGGCACCCAACAGCCACAACCGGAAACGTTTGGCAATTGAGTCACGACGTCATGCTTCGCCCGATGATTCACACATGTTCATCATAAAATTACCGCCAAATCTGTATTATTACTCGAGTCCCAAGGAAGCTGGCGTGCAAGCGAACTCGAAGAATGCGTTGGTCCAACATGCGCAGACAGAAATTGAGACGAAGCCAGCGGTGCTTAACGCTGATGCTAACGGGAAAAAGGTAAACAAGATGCCATTTTCATTCCATATTAATTCTTAGACATGAACATGTCTACAGTGTTGTTATTTGGTGCTATCATTTATGCCAAATCTGTGTACCATCAATACAAAATGCAACAAGTAACTATCCATGCTTCGCCAGACTTACTGACTTAGTCAGAATCATTTAATCTGTCGTGTGTGTAAAATGCGCCTTCCATCCATCGAACTGAAGATAAACATCAATATTTTATGGCACAAATTACTAAATGTGTACAACAAAATCAAATCCCAGTGGTGTAGAGAACATTGTCTGCAGGTGCCAATAAATATCGTTTGGAACAATTTCCTTTCTAAACATAGTATGAAACTGTAAAAAATTCCTTACTCTCAGCTCATATAGATTATTTTGCTATTTATAGATAAGAAACGCTTGTATAAACTCGTATGTTACATAGATTTTCCGAAGTGATATAAAAGTTTTTACTATGTCAGCATATGTTATTCTTTTACTAATAGTTATATAGGGTATTTATAACACTTCTCTTAGTCGGAATTTATTATTTTGTTGAACATAGTCTCAAATATGTAAATATTTAGTAAGGTAAAAATTATTAATTTTTTGTAGAGTATTTTACAAAAATTACATTCGGACTTATCTGATCCCATAACCCATTTTCGAAATACAAGTATGCTGTTAAAGAAAGATTTATTCGCTAGATTCTATGATTATATTTATTTAAGGATAGGATAACCGAAATTTTAGTTTCGAACTTAAAGTAAACGTACGTTCAAGTACTCGTATATACGTATACCGATTATGGATAAAAAAGTTAATACGTCAAGTGATTTCTTCTACTCTTCTACAATGAAAGAAGTATTAGTCTAATACTTCTATTTCAAAAAAAAAAAAATTATTTAAACATAATTATAATAAAACAATAAATATTTGAAACTTCTTTTTTTAAATATTTCTTTATAACTAAAGCAGTAGTTTCTCCTCCTCTAACCTTAGTCAAAATTTAATTTTCATAGTACTGCTTATAGTTATCCGATTTAAGGTTTCACCTACACAGGAAAAGCTTAGAAACCAAATACAGAAGTTTAAAATTTAATAACACGACAAGAGAGA